GGGTTTGAACCGCCAGCCTTCTGGTGAGCAGTTAAGTGCCTTAGGCACTATGCTACCAGAGCTCCTTCTGTAGTGATACTGCCCTGGAAACCCAAGGAGGGGTTGCTATGAGTCAGGTCTGACTTGAGGGCACATAACAACAACAACAACAGCCACCAAGTTATAAAAAGAGATGAATTAATGAAATTCAAATTGCTGGAAAAATAACCTAAAACCCAAATTAATGGAGAACATTCACTTTATGACTAATGTGTAACTTAAATGTAATCTGTCACTATATAACATGTATGATATTATAGGAACAGGAAAGTACTACTGTAACAAATGTGCTATAGAGAAATATAATATTTATTTTCTGTTGCAATACATTTTTACAAGTGGTTCTATTCTCATTTCATTACACTAGCATATATTTACAAAGTTACAAACTAGAGTTAAGTATACAGTTTAGTCTTTCTATAGTTTTTCTCTATTGAAAAGAATGTTGACAATCCTGTACTTATTCACGAGTTAATTAAGTGTTGCACTGGATTTAAGAAATGTGCATACATTTCCAGGCCAAAAATAACTCCTTTATTGGCCCTGTTCATGGATAGGGGCAAAGACTATGACTCTCTTGCTCTTTGTATTCTCAGCAATACTGGATAAGTTCACAAAGGAAAACATAAAGGAGAAGCAAAAGAAATGGCTGAAATATGCACAACAGAGTACATGGCTAGCCTCTACTAGACTTTAATTACTTTGAATAAAAGGACTACAAGTGTTCAAAGCATATAGATTTCATACTCTATTTTGTGCTTGAATACTCAGCTAGAACTCGAAGCAAAGATTTACAGTAAACAATCATCTAATTGTTTTAACATGAGAATAAAGTTAAGTAGGAACCAGGTATATAATGTTTACCAATTAGACCTTTTCTTTACATTCAACAGGTGCCAATTTATTGACTGAATTAAATTCTTGAGTATCTCTCTGGGTTAATAATTACAAGTCACAAGGGCTGGAAATAAAAAGATTTATAAGGTCCTTATTTTCAGAGGAAGGAGCTCTGGTGGCACAATGGTCAGCTGCTAACTAAAAGGTCAGCAGTTCAAACACACCAGCTGCTCAGCAGGAGAAAGAGGTATCAATCTGTAGTTTTATTATCTCCTACAGGGCTGCTATATGAGTCAGAATTGACTTGATGACAAAGGGTGTTTTTTTTTTATTATTTTTCGGTTTATCTTCAAAGGGAAAAAACATGAACGTGAACAAAGGCTAAAATAAAATTTGGTAACTGTTAATTAAATTTAGAGGACTAGAAGGGAGAAGACTATGGTGTGTCAAATGTCAGAAAAGGATTAACTAATTGTTTTGGTTACCTAGTGCCGCTCTGACAAGAATATACCACAAATAGGATGGCCTTAACAAATAGTTTATTCTCTTACAGTTTGGAGGCTTTAAGTCCAAGTTCAAAGTGCCAGGCTCTAGGGCCTGGGTGAAAGCCCCTCAACCTTGGGCTTCAGCTCTGCCTCTAGCTCCTAGCCGACTGAAGCTAGAGGTTTTCTTCACTCAGCTGTTGGCTGCTGAGGCTGCGAAGCCCAAGTTTGACAA